ACAACAACAGAAACAACCTTCTTCATGCCATACGGCTTTCACAGGAACACAAACAACCTTGTTCATACCATATGACTTTCACAACAACAGAAACAACCTTCTTCATGCCATACGGCTTTCACAGGAACACAAACAACCTTGTTCATACCATATGACTTTCACAACAACAGAAACAACCTTCTTCATGCCATACGGCTTTCACAGGAACAGAAACAACCTTCTTCATGCCATATGACTTGCACAGCAACAGAAACATCCTTCTTCATACCATACGGCTTTCACAGGAACAGAAACAACCTTCTTCATGCCATATGACTTTCACAGGAACAGAAACAACCTTCTTCGTGCCATATGGCTTTCACAGCAACAGAAACAACCTTCTTCATACCATACGACTTTCACAGGAACAGAAACAACTTTCTTCATGACACATGGCGGATTGTTTGTTTCGGGAATTTTGCTACATAGCCGGCCTCAGAGCAAAGACAGCTAATCAACAGAACTCACCGCCAACACTTGGCTACTCGTATTTGGTCGAATCGTTGGATTTAACAATCACTCTTATAGCGCAATCAGGGCTCAAAAGTGCGTAGCACGTTTTTCAGCAACGGGTCGTGAACCATGAATCCTCGAATTTATAGTCCGGGAATGCTAACCACGAGGCCTCACCAGGCTCAACAGATTACAATAGAAACATAAACCTCATTCTTTCTGATACAAACGGCAACAAGAAAACAAATATGCAGGTAAAACAAACTAATGATCGTGCAAAATAAGTAAATAAGAGAGAATGTACTGTCAACTATTCAAATGTCTGTAGCTTGGAGATAGATAAAAACGGTTATGCTGAAATCGTGTAGTGCCATACATAAACTAATTGAGAAGCATTCGTCAGAACAATGGTTATAACATAGCGTAACGCCATCTCCAGACTAGCTTAGGAACATTTCTCAGAACAATGATTATATCAGCATAGCGTAATGCCAATTACAAACTAAATTAGAAATATTTGTCAGAACAATCGTTATGCCAACGTAGCGTAATGTCATACTTGCACTAGCTAAGAACTATTCGTCAGAACAATGGTAACCGGAGAGTGCGCTAACACTCTCTATGTAGGGCACCTATATTAAACCAATACAAAAGTCATCTGAATTTCCTTCTCTACGGGTCATTATAAGCTAGATATGAAGAGCTAGTTAACATAGTCGCTCTATCTTCGATATATATTCCACTTTTCAGCTATTCAGAGCGTCCCAAAGTCGAAAACCGGCAAATAGCCAAAAAACCGAGATTTCTTATTTTTGTTCATAATCATCTTTCTTCAACAGGTCTAGCGCCCACCTAGTTCTAGCAGTATATAATTTTATTATCATTTGAGAGATCCAAACAGCCTTGATGATCTTTGACTACCTAATTAATTATTGTTATATGCAAAGTCTAAAAAAATATATACAAAATCATAATTATTGTTTAAACGATGCTATTACCCCTTGAAGCTAGGTTTCTTACAGAAAGAGGTGTTATCTTATAAAGCTTAAGTACAGGGTGAAATAGTAATTACCACCTAATAATAAATGAACATTAGATGACTGTAGCATGTAGAATACTCAATGCTTTGTACACTATACAATCGGTGTCTTTAGGTAGCCAATCCCTATATTATGTATGAAGTGAAAGAGTAAAAAAAATCAATACACATACAAGTCATCAGAAGTTAGATATGAAGAACTATGTGGCATAGTCGCTCTATCTCCGGTGTATATGTCGCTTTTCAGCTATCCAAGGACGAAAATCGGCAAATAGCCAAAACCGAAATTTCTTATTTTCATTCATCATCATCTTTCCT